TACATATATATATATATATATATATAATACACTTGCGATGACAAGTTTACATATGCTTTGTGGAACCACCAAATTTATAATAATTGTATAATTTTAACAAAGTAAGAGGGATCATAAACATTGCTTGTTAATTAGTACTGCCTGGAATAAGCTGTTACATAAGCTATAGCATAAACGTAACAGAAGTTTACATGTAGTCCACAAGAAAATATAAATATATTTGTTAAAATTAGTAATATTTGTTGAATTGAAATGAAAACATTTTGTAGATTCTGCAAGATGTATGTAAACGTATGACCATATATAATAATTTCATTAGAATTTACTTACAGAAAGTGACATTTTACAACCTAAACTGTCATAAAAAGGTCCACTTGATTGATCTGGCTGCCAAACGTTTTTCAGACATTAATATACAGTAAAGTATGTCCTTTTTTGAAGGAATTTTGGATAAATTAATTGATAGGGAAATAAAACATGTCATGTCATAACAAAAATATAAACCACACGTTGTTGATTTCCAGGCCCGCCCGATGACCCGATACCTGCCCATTCGCAAAGAGGAGTTTGACCTCCGTTCCCACATCGAGTCTTCAGGTCACAGTGTGGACACGTGCTACCACGTGATTCTCACCGAAAAGATGTGCAAGGGCTATCTTGTCAAGATGGGAGGAAAGATCAAATCCTGGAAGAAGCGCTGGTTCGTCTTTGATCGCCTTAAAAGGACGTTTTCCTACTACGCCGGTATGTGTACCGCAGCGTCGCCTTCCAACATCCTCCTTACTGTGCACTATGCTAATGCCGCTCCGCAAACGTGTCTTTATGCTTTCGTTGCCCTGAGTTTGGGGAAAGAAACGAGGGCAGAACAAAGAGTGGATTGTGGGTGAATCCAGCAGTGGGGGGATACGGATAATTAGTAATTCTTAAGCTCACAGTGGCTGCCATGATTTCCGATAGCCTCGGGTTAGCTAGGGGCATACAAATAACCAGAAGCCCGTCCGCATGCTATCTGATGGTGATGAAATCTGCCGCAATGCTGAGGAAATCGTGCTCATCACCCAGCCGTGGCGCTCGGCAAAGCGTGAGCTCTCGCTCTTTATTTCTTCGCGGACTGAAAATGAAGGGGTTGCACCGCAGTAACAAGGTCACATCGGTGCTTACCAGATCATTATTCTCCAGGGGAGTGGGGGCTTATTTGTTTTTGAAACCATCGCTGTGCAAAACATGTTAATCAGTAGTTTTGTCTTGTTTTCCAGTAAAAAAACGTTGAAATGCTTGTTTTCGGGGAACATATTCGAGTTAATTCGTCTTATGATGTTTTCAAACAAAAACATTGCAATAAAATACTTATTAAGAGAACGATTTTTCGCAGGGTGACATCTCTGTTTCTCCCATCCGCAGATAAACATGAGAGCAAATTGAAGGGCGTCATCTACTTCCAGGCTATCGAGGAGGTTTACTATGATCACCTGCGCAGTGCCACAAAGGTACGAGCCCCTATCGGATAAAAACCCCTCGTATAAGCACAGCTCACATCTCCCGCTGTTTTCTGCTCTGCACTCCTGTTGCACCATTTCATTTGATCTTTTTCTGTTAGCTTCTTTCTTCTCTTTTGTCTCTTATGCTGTAACTCTGCTGTCAATATTCCCCACCCTTCTTTTGCTTCATTCTTTTGCTTTGCCGTCTGTTTTCACAGAAAGGATTTTTCAATCTGAATTTGACAAACGTACGTATCGCTCTTCACCACTATCACCCTATCCTGCATGTTTGCTTAGAGGAAATTGCTCTAATCCGTGCATTTTTCACACACTTACTCCCTTGTGACTTATTAACATACCTCGTCTTGTATTGTTTTGAATAACTGGACTACTTGCACCTTCGGTGGATATTTTTTTGTGCAGTTACTGAGGATGAGAGTATAATGTAATTGACCTGTATGCGTTTCCCTTAAGTGTTTCTTTACTACTCCCACCTGTGGTGAGATACTAAGTGTGTGTATAACATAATAGCCCCACAGAAGCAGTTGTGTGGTATATTATACGCCATCAGCTTCATGCTGTATAATGTAATAGGTTAACAGGAAGCCGTGATATAATTTACTCCTTGACAGTGTCAGAATCATTTGAAGAGATTTGTTTGCCCATTGCATGAATGGAGTGCTCTTCAACAATGAGTGTTTTGGTGAGGAGAACTAATTATCACATTTTAACAAGCACCTCCTGCTCAACATCTGTATTAAAATTAGAGGTGCTAATAATTAATACTTTGTTATTAATTAAGTGGAATGACTTTCGATTAATCCACTTTAGCTTAAGAGAATTCGGTAATCATCTGGGAAATGCGCAAACTGTGTGCACGCTGTTGCTTGTGCTGCATGCGACGTAGGAGCTTATAAAACATGTTCAAAGTAATCGTGCACATTTACAATAATAGTGTGTTAAAGTATAATGTGAGAACAAGCTGAGTTAAGTAGACTTATCAACATTTAAAAAAAGAGGATAAAACATTTCCCATCTTTTTTTTTTTAATTGTTGACATCAAAGTAATAAGAATAAACATGCTGACCACAGTGTGATGAATTATTGAATACCGACAGCATGCAGCCATTAATTTCAATAGATATTTAGAAATATCTACAACATTACAAAAAACATCAATTTTACTACATCAAACATTAACTTAAGTTCAAAATCCGATCTAAAATATTATATGAAACATATGTGTATATAAGGTCTGAAATATTACATGAACCACATAATACAATTTGTGCATTATCCATACACGTTGTTATTATTATTAATACTTTTAAAATGAGCAAATTATATTAAACTATACCAGTTGGATTCATACTAAATATATGCATTAAAGTACTTATAATTAGGGATGCACCGATACCACTTTTTCCAGTACTCGCGTGTTTCATTGTCTGAATATGGCACTTATCACATGCTGTGTGGTATCGGCGTTTGGTATCGGGGCATTTTTACGAGTACGAGTACAGAGTATCGGTATCGGGCCCGATACCGATACCAGTATCGGTGCATCCCTAATTATAATAATAGCACATTTCTTATATTTATTTATTAGCATATTATTACATGTATTTATTATTATATTCATTAGGATCCATAGTTTAAATATCTAATGTTTAATTCATTTTTTTAATTATTATTATTTTATTTAGCATAATCACTTTAAATGTAGTTTGACTAGTTGACTGTAGTTATTAAATATTTGCATTATAAAGTATAAACATAAATAAAACTAATATATTATAAGATTAGAAATAAGACTATTTTAACTTTATTATAATGTCTTGCAAATTATATGATTCACACAATAAATTGTACAGGCAAAATAATTTTAGCCGCAGTAGCCATACACATTATTAATAATGCTTGGAAAATTATGAAACTATATTAAATTAAAATATACCAGTTACATTTTAAATGCATTGAAATACAGAACAAAAAAAGCAGTGCATTTATCATGTTTATTTATTTATTTAAATTATATCTATTTGTATAGTGGTTTTAAGTGTAGTTGAAATAGTGCATGTGGTATTTGGCGTCCTACACGTGTGATTGCATTTTAATGAAAATCAATTTGTAAAAATTCCTGAAAATTGACATCCCCTAATGGCTAAATATGAGATAATGCATATGCCTCAATAACTGAGTAGTAGAGAGACTCCATATCACTCCCTCAACTGATCTGAGTGTGTCTTTTTGATCGCAGAGCCCCAACCCCTCCCTGACCTTCTGCGTGAAGACCCACGACAGACTGTATTACATGGTGGCCCCGTCCGCAGAGGCCATGAGGATATGGATGGATGTGATAGTGACAGGAGCCGAGGGCTACACGCAGTTCATGAACTGAGACAAAACCCACTATACGGAATAATACGGAAACTATTCGGCAGGGAGACTTCAAATGACCCAGACCTGTTATTCCCAACGAGAGGAAAAACTTTATTTTGTTACTTCCTTTTTTTCTTCTTCTCGAGTTTCCTGAAGATGTTATATATTCACTCAGATGCAGAGACAGATATCCACCAGAGGCTTTCCACGTCTGCCTGGATTGAAAAAGGGAGAAGACGAAAAGACCCAGTGAACCAAACCTGCAGGTGGTGGCTCACTCACCATCGACGAAAATGCCTTTTTGCCGTCAGAGATATTTTTCAGTTGCAGCTCAGTTTATCTTGTCTGGATGCGCAGAAACGTGACTTTCATTTGTAAAGTTTGTCCCACGATTTGTCTTTTCAAACGTAATGGGAAAAATGCCAAATGCCATCAAGCCATTCTGGAATAGTATTGCCCTGCATACTTGATGGGATTGACTGACCCGGAATGACTAGAGGATATAAATGAACTGCAGTACATTTAAATGATGTTTTAAATTAAATGGAGCATTACATTCACATTTAAAGATCCGATGTCACAGAAACAAAGGCTTAATTCACCAAAGCTCACCTACCAGCTCAGGAGTCTATATTTATTATAGAGGGACATCAGCGACTCCTGTCCAACTTTATCCCACTGTGTCTCTGTGTTCCCAGCTCATTCTTTTAGATGCAGAACCACAAATGCATGCACACACACACACACACACACCACGTACAACAGTAGAGTCTATTTGCCAAGTCCTGACAACTTGATATTGTGATTCGACTCCCTAGGGAGGCAGCCATCACCTATCACTGCCAGCCTACGAGAGTTTGGAATTATTGCCACAAACAAGAGAAAAATAAACAACATCATAATCATGCAGTGCCTTGATAATGACCCATATTTGTCACTTTTAGTATCTGAAATATTACACTAGTGAAAAATACTGTAGCTGGAATCACAGTTAAGGTGCGGCCACATTAATGAAATTTTAAGAGTAAAAAAAGTCGATTGTCAATTGTATAGTGATGTATAAAGCACAGCTCACACAGAAGTCACGTTCAAAACAAGCAAGTTTTCCGGCTTTCAATGCAGCGAATTTGAATCGGTTTAGAAATCTGCTTTGGAAATTCTTTTGTCATCATCGAAATTCCAGATTGCATGGATGCCTATTGAAATTCGCCTGGATTTCACCTGCGAAAATTCACAGAACAACAGTAAATTAGTGCAAATTTTGTGAAAATTACACAGGCAAAAAAAACAATTCAATTGTCTACTGTCAGTAGTGTAGCGGTGTTGGTCAGCATGATGAATTCACTTAGCCGACTTGAATAAGTTTCGAAATCTGCATTGGGAAACCTCTCGCCATCATGCGAAATTCCCAATTACACTGATGCCTATTGAAATTCGCCTGCCAAAATTCACTGACCAACAGTAAATTAGTGAAAAGTTTGTGAAAATTGCGTAGGCTGTCAATAGTGTAGTGATGCATGAAGTACAGCTCACACAGAAGTCAAGCCAGGAAGCATTATGTTGGTTGAATTCATGTGACCATCTGAACCCGTGGCGAAATCTGAATGAGAAATCTTTCATTGTCACGCGAAATTCCCAAATACATGGGTGCCTATTGGAAATGACTGGATTTTGTCTGCAAACATTTGCTAAACATCAGTAAATTAGCGAAAATTGGCAAAAAATTGGCAAAATTTCTAAAGGCAAAAGAGGTCAAATGTTTACGGTCTATAGAGTAGCGATGCATCAAGCACAGCTCGCACGGAAGTCTTTTTTTAAACCAAGCAGCTTTATGTTGGCTGAACTCACATGACCAGCTGAACCTGTTGCGAAATCTGGGCAGGGAAATCTTTCGCCGTCACACGAAATTCCAGAACATGTGGATTCCTATCGAAATGACTGGATTTCGCCTGCAAAAATTCACAGAGCAACAATAAATGTGACCGCACCTTTATTCCATGTGATACATAGTGGGTTTTACTGTTCTAAGAGATTGTGAACAGACACGTACTGTAATAAAAAAAAAAACGTGACCTATTTAAATCAGTCCGATACTGCTTTAATACAATTTAAGAAGCTATTCAAAGGGTTTAGTAGCTGTTCAAGTATTATTGATGTTTTACAGGCCTTGTGTTCATTTGGGGATAACAAAATGTTTATTTATGTTACGACACTGTTAAAAATGACCAACGTGTTCTGCTTTCTCCCGAAACCAAACTGTATGTTCAAATGAAATCTACAGAGAATTTAAATCAACACGAATAATTAGTCTTCATTATACGTGTAAGATGTCTTGAGTACTATCACAGAACTAGGTGAAAACAGTGTTGTAAAATGTTGAACATCAATACACTCACGGTTTTCCTTATTCATGGTGATTTTGTGTTTATTTGCCTAATTATAATCCATGCTAACACATAAGCATGGACTTGCGGAAAAGACTGTAGCTCAGAGGTCACAACTAAACTCGGACTTCAGATGTAAAAGGGCAAGTAACCCTCACTGCTGTAATTAACACTGCAACGCAAGCAGAAGTCTTGCATCATAGCTACTGTGTTGTTTTCATGACACCAGACAAGAGAGCAGCATGCTAAATTAAAAACCTACTGCTAAGAAGGGCTACGATGAGGTTGACCCAAGAAAGTTTGGAGACCAAGTTTGTTTTGGTTGGAAAACACCCTAGTTAAACAGTTTCATAAATTAACCTTGAAATAAATCACTTAAAGCCATATTTTAGAAGTACAATATGCTGCTGGCAGTGTGTGAAAATACTCAGTATTTTCATAGTTAAAATATTTCATACTCTTTGAGGGTGTGTTTACACAAAGTTCAGTTGTCTTGGTTCTTTTCAGGGTCTCTGCAGGTTTTATGAAAGTAAATGCAAACGTCTACATTTTCTGAAATCAAGATACATTTACTTTAGGAGCAAAATGACATAAGAAGCCTTGTTTTCTGAGAACAAACATCCAATGGGCTCAGAAAAATAAACTTAGTTCAAAGGGGAAAAGAGTTTGAATACATATCAGATAATTATTCTTGTTTTAAGCATAAACTCATTTGATTCTATTCCAATTCTCAGAAAACATCTCAAGTAAATGTATTTTAATTTAAGGATGTTTAGATATTTGTATTGGAAAACATGCATACTCATTTTTTTCCCCAGTGCATGCAACATTTAATGACTTTATAAATGTAAGACTTTCTGCTCCGATTTAAGACCTTGAAAAAAAAAAGTTGTTTTTGCGCACGTTTAACAAAATGTATGTTTTCTCGCTTTTATATTTTGTCTTGGAATTTATAATAATTTTAAACGCTAGATATTAGGAGAAAACTGCCTTTCAAATAGTGGTTATTACTAATATGGAGCAATTTCAAAGACATATTTTAACTTGAAATTTCTAATAATTTCAACACTAAATACGGGAAAACTGCCTTTCAAATAATGGTTATCACTAAATATACAGCTGAAAGGCAGCCCTAAAAAATCTCTTTAACTTTTCAGTTTGAATTCTAGTAAGTATCAGTACAGTCATTGAGCAATATGTAGGCAATACATATTGAACTGTTTGGGGTGTACTGTTCACTTTAGTCTCTCTGGAGTCAGTTGTTTGCTGATGCAATTTGTTGAGATCGTTTACTGAAATTATTTGGTAATTCCTGGAACGCTGTGAAACTGACACCTCTTTAGTGGGCAGCAGTAGGAGAATATTCTCAATTAGCATTCTAACATGATATTACTGAAGTTAACAGGCGTTTTAAAAGATGAATTCTTTTTGCTAAGCAGAGATATCAAGCATCTGAGTGGTTTGGAAACAGTTTTTGACTGTGCTACTTTTAAACACTCAAGGGGGAAACAGTATACAGATATTATTGGGTGTTACAACAGCAAACAAAAAGTCTGAAAGCAGCTTTCATGTGTTGGCGATAAAATGTTGTTTAAAACTTCAGTTACTGAACCAGTAGAAGAGTTGAATCTATCCACACCAACATATCAGTTCTACTTCTACTAAAATATCAAGTGCTTTGAAATGTGATGTTTTGGATTACAGACAGGACAACTGACATACTATTGTAAACATCTGCAATTGGTAAATGTGTGCATTTTTTACAAAATATATAATTGGGTTGGGAAAGGTTTCAAACTTGAAATTAGGATTTAATATTTGACTAATATGCAATAATAGTAGGTATAGCTTATTCTTTTAAGATCCAGACATTTGCATATGTACAGTAATAATAAATCTAGATAATAAATAATAACAGGACACAAATGTTTCTGATGCAGCAATTGTTGATTAAACAAATAGTTTAATAGCAACTAAAGTGCAGAATGCAGAAATGCATTATTTTTTTATTTAAGAAAACAGTAAGGTTTTACAAGTAAGTGACAGAAAAAGTGTCAGTATTAAACCTGTTTCGCCATATATTCCAGTGTACAGTTCTTCAGCCGTTAGCACTTCAGATCATCGCCTGAAAAACAATGTCAATCAACCTTTTATCAAGCAACATAACATATATCTATTTATATCATAATATAACATTCATATCTGTCCTTTATACATCATTCTAAAATGCTGATTTGGTGCTCAAGAAAAAAAAAAATCTCATTATTATCAATGTTGAAAACAATGTTGATTTTTTTTCAAGATTCTTTTATGAATAGAACGTCCAAAGGGCATTTTTAATATAACATGTAAATGTCTATGGATTTGGGAATTCAAGTTTAAGAGTACAATTATATTATTAAAAATGGAGTTTTAGATAAAATTGACAATTACTGTACTTACAGTAGTGTTTATGCACATGGGGAGGTGTAGTCAATCACAGACAGTTCACCTGGAGGAATAGAAACACAACCTAGTTTTTTTGTGCACTACACTGTTGAGCTCGTCTCAATAAAATGAAAATGCATTATGGAAAGATTAAATACAGGCTCGTAAATAACAATTATGCAACCTTTATATCATGATGTCACTAAGATTTATAAAAAAAATGAAATTCTTAAACATTTTGTTATGATTTATTTATTATATTTTGCTGGGTTTATAATAAAAACCCTATATTGTATTTTCTTTCAGACTTTTCAGAGTGCACAGTGATGAAGAAACACATACTGATCTTGTAGTAGTCATAGACGATCACTACAGCTGGTTTCAGGTTCTGCACCTGTACTTCCTGCACGAGCTGCAGGCTGATGGACTTCACCTGATTCTTTTTCAACTGGAATAGAAGAGAAAATTATTACTTAATTATGATTACGGAGAGATTTATTTTCTATAGGGTATGGACATATGAGAATGTGTTAAAGGAATAGTTCACCCAAAAATGAAAATTAGCTTAAATTTTACTCACTCTTGTGCTATCCAAGAGGTAGATGAGTTTGTTCTTTCATAGGAACAGTTTTGGGGAAATGTAGCATTACTTCACTTGCTCATCAATGGATCCTCTGTGGTGAATGGGTGCCGTCAGAATCTGGATCCAAACGGTGATAAAAACATCACAGTAATCCACACGACTCTAGTCCATCAATGTCTTGTGAAGTAAAAAGTTTATTGTTTGTAATAAATTCATCAAGACATTTTTAACTTTTGCTTCTGGCTAAACTACACAAATTAAGAACTATTTAAAAGTGAAAAAAGTTCTAAACAAATATGTCATTGGATTTTAATGTGAGAGGACAACAGGGGATGGATTTTTTTCATTGGAGGAAGTGTTATTATGGATTATGGACTCGCATTTTGGCCAGAAGAGACCATTTAAAGGTATGGCTTGATGCATTTGTTTTTTTACAAACATGCACCTTTTCACTTCACAAGACATTAATTGATGGACTGGAGTCATGTGGATTACTTGTGGATTATTGTGATGTTTTTATCAGCTGTTTGGACTCTCATTCTGACGGCACCCATTCACTGCAGAGGATCCATTGGTGAGCAAGTGATGCAATGCTACATTTCTCTAAATCTGTTCCGATGAAGAAACAAACTCATCTACATCTTGGTTGGCTGGAGAGTGAGTACATTTTCAGTCAAATTTCATTTTTCAGCTTCTTGTTTAAGTAAACCAGGTCAGTTTTATTGTCAGAATATCAGTGACCCGTCCCAAAAAATAAGTTGAACCCCTCAAGGTATTTGAAAATAAATTTGAATAAAACATTTACACTATCCAAATAGAAAATGACACGATCCTCATCCAGATCCACACGTTTGATGGTGGGGTCTTCCCTCAGCTGTGGAGACAGAGGAGCGAGTGAGAACGAATCAAACGCTGGCTACACAACTTGAGATCAAAAGAGGACCAGAGCCCTTCAAGTGTCACTCACAGCCTGCAGAGACGTCTCATCCGGCTTAAACCCAGACAGGAACCTGACGTTAATGATCACCATGTTGGTCTCCATTCGTGTGCCGTCATACCTGTCACACAATTGCTCCAACAATCACAAACAGGTTCACAACCACACATTGTTCTCTATGTAGTCTGACAGACAACAAAGAGTCTATTAGGCCATAAAATAGGTTGAATCTTTATTCATTCTTTCTTTATAAAGTCAAGTGGGTATGTTACTAATTCATTTAGCAATATCATTGCAAGTAGAATTTGTTACAGCTGTCTGCAGGACTTCTCGACATACATTTTTATGTAAATTTTTATAGACATTACCATTCAAAGTTTTTTTTTATAATTTAATCAAAAATACAGCAAAATCAGTAATGATTACTACAATGTTTTATATTTGATTTAAATGCAATTTATTCCAGTGTTGGCAAAGCTGAAATTTCAGCATCATTACTCCAGTCTTCAGTGTCACGTGATCCTTCAGAAATCATTCTAATATGCTGATTCGCTGCTCAAGAAATATTTCTTATTAATATTTATGTTGAAAACTGTTGTGCTTCTTAATATTTTTGTCGAAACTGTGATACTTTTTTCAGGATTCTGTGATGAATAGAAAGTTCCAAAGAACAGCATTTATTTGAAATATAGTTTTTTTCGTAACATTTATAATGTCTTTACTGTGATTTTTGAGCAATGCATTAATTTCTTTAAAATAAAGTCTTACTGACCCCAAATCTTTGAACAATAGTATATATATTTAATATTTATTATTATGTGTTTTTAAACATCAAATTAAAAATTGATCCTTTTTTGCTAGTTTGTAGTATTTAAATGACTAGTTACATTTTTCTTAGCTTGTTTGATCACTTTTTTGTATGGAAAAGAGCTGTGTGAAGATTATTTAAAAATATCTATTTTTTTTGTTTCACAGGAAAGACAAAGTCATACAGGTTTGAAAGGACGTGACAGTGACTAAATGACAGAATTTTCAATTTGGGGAGAACTTTTCTTTTAAATAATGGCAGCATGTATAGTAAGTATTTAAATGAATGACAAATTATCTAACAAATTAAATTTGTGCAAAAAAAAAGTCACGTGTTGAAAGTATTATATACATAAAAGCTGTTTCCATGAATGAAGACAGTAATGGTATTTTTTTTTAACAGAGGTGTGGCTCACCTTACAGTGGTGGTTAGTGTAAAAGCTGGGATCCTTGTGTTGTTGCAAACCCCAGTATTTGTATTGATTTTGAAGGCCAAGGAGTCTGGAGGAGGCGGGATATTGTAGTGCAAGGCAAACTGAGAGACAAAAAAACAGAATGATGTCAAAGACGAGGTGATTTATATCACTTTTATACATTTAAGTAGTCATCATGCAGTATACTCATCCTTATGTAATTCCAAATCCGTATGACTTCCTTCTGTGATCCATGGAAGAAAGAAAGTCATACAGGTTTGGCATGACATGAGGGTGAGTAAATAATGAAAACTTTCATTTCTAGATGAACTATTAATTGGATGTGCATCAAAAGAGGCAGCGCACAGACCTGCACAAACACACAGCCTTTGCCTTCTGCCCTCAGATTGTATGTGCCAGTAGCTTCCTGCAGCTGTTTCTCCTGGTAAAGCAGCCGGTTGTTCCGGTTCACGGTGAACTGGTTCTTCTGGCCTGAGGGGGAGGTCACGGTTACGGTAATGGATCCTTCTGGATTGTAGATGGCAGCACTGTACTTAGCGAGGGCCTGGAGCGCTACTACAGTATCCTGTTCACAGAGAGAGGGAGCGACACCACTGTACAGTCAATAATGATAAAACGCATTATAAAGACCGAGAGGGGTCTAAAAAAGCTGCATAAATAACATTACCTGTGTAGAGGAGAAGCCTCCATATGCGTTCTGCTGATTGCTTAGCCAGTGCACTATGCCAGCAGAGTAGTTCAGTCCAAATCCAGGCAGTGTGGGTCCCGAGAGCAGCGCCAGCAACACGTAGGCACTCATCTCTACCTCCAGAGAGCCCGTCGGTTGCGCATTATTAGCCAGAGTCCAATATCGTCCGACACCTGAAATAACCAGTGCAAGAAAACTTGAACATTGAAGGATGGTGATTGTGTTTTTTATTAAAAGCAGCAGGATGATCTAGATCAGGGGTTTTCAAACTGGGGTCCAGGGAAATTGGTACAAGGGGTTCAATCTCAGAAAAAAAGGTACAAAAGCGGTCACCGGTACCTTTTCAAAAGGCACACCTTTGTACCTAAAGAGTCCATATTGGTACCTTAAAGATACATATAAGTACCTAAAGTGTACATATTAGTACCTAAAAGGTACAAAAGTGTACCTTTTGAAAAGGTACTGCCGCAGTGACAGCTTTTGTACCTTTTTTTCTGAGAGTGTACACAAAAAAAATAATAATTATAACAAAAAAAACTTCAAAAACATCAACAAAAAGAGTATCTAATTTGATTTACAGTCTGTTTTTTTGTTTTAAGAAATAATATTTTTATATTTCTTTTTTTTTTTTTCTGGGTTTTCGCCTCTGCAGCACAATAACTATACAGTAGTTTATGCCTTATTTTCTTTCTTTTTAGGGAGTTATTTTTTATTTTTTTGTAAAAAAAAAAAGTTACTACGGAGTCCCACACATGACATGCAGACAAAAAAACAAGATCTTATGGCTGCGAATTAAGAATAAATTTCCTCGGTTTAGATAAATTGTGTCCACAATATAACTAAATTATAACATGGGAACTAATTAGTACGATGTGACCACAATTTAACTAAAACGAGGGAACAAATTAATAAAATGTGAGAACAAATTGATAAAATGTGGCCAAATGTGGTATGTTGTGGGAACAAATTCTTAAATAATGGCCACTATATCTATTTTTTCTTCAGCTGACATGTGTGGGGCTCCGTACTATAGAAATAAATTCTGATTTAAATTGAAAATTGAATTAATTGAAGTAAATTATTTAATTAAAAGCCAATTATTTCATTTGGCAAACACAAAATAATAAGGTCTTTATGAATAAAGATAAAAGAATGGAGCCTTTCTATTTAATATATGTGACCCTGGACCACAAAACCAGTCACAATGGAATGATTTTTGGCATAAAAGAAAAATCAATAATTTTGACCCATACAATGTATTTTTGGCTATTGCTACAAATATACCCCAGCGACTTAAGACTGGTTTTGTGGTCCAAGGTCACATATATTAATGTAATGTATATGAATGAAAAATATATAAATCTTTTTGGAAAATATAAATTTTGCACATCCTTAAAGATGAGTATTTTAGAATCGTTATTTGTCTTATTTAATCTAAAGCTTAATGGTACCATCTCTCCTGGCCTGATTGTCCAGGTTGGAGAGGAGGTTCTGTCTCATCTGTTCATCTCCAGCAAGAGTGAATGTGTAGGACAGCAAGGCGGTCACATAAGTGTTGGTAATGTCACTGGAAGATCCCCTCAGACATGTAAGGCTTCTCTCCATCATGGGATCCTTACAGAGCACACAAGAGACTTAATGAGTGTTTGCTTCCTTCATTAGTCACATTATCTATATTGAGTTATCCGTGACCATCTCTTAGGAGCCATAAAGAGGGTTTTACTCACAGTTCTCTGGACGCCTAACTCCAGCAGTGCAGCAGTGATGTATGCAGAGAGAGTGACTTCATTGCTGACGCCACCCTGCGAGAGGAAAAGCATCATCAAAGATCCTTCCAACCCTCAGCACTTCAATCTCCTCAATTTATTGACATCTAACAGACATTTTCCGAGTGTGAAATCCAGAACCACCAGACTCTCCGTTTTCCTCTCCATAAATGACTCTGATCCATTAGCTCTCCCTGCAATCATCTCCTCATCCCACTCAACGCTGTGACAGCATCACATCTCATCTAACTTTTCTACCATTTACATTACCATTACATACCATTTAAATTTTAACATTTCTATTTTCTAAAACTGTTTTTGCTATTTATTTTTCTATTTTAAATGTAAAAATTTGTAATTTCTTTTTTCTCCGTTTTTAAAGAATACATATATATAGTGTCTTTTAATAATAAACATCACTAAAATTTTTTTATTTATGCTTAATGTTTAAATTATTTTGCCAATGAGATAAATTCATTTTAAGATATGGTCTCTAAAAAACATATATTATCCTATGTAACCTTGCATAATCTTGTTTCTATTTTAACTGGAAAATAAATCAAAATATCTATTTATTTTATTTCAAGAAGCTACGAGAATACTTTTTTTGCGCAAAGAAAACAAAAATAACGACTTTATTCCACATTTTCGTCTCTACTGACGTCATCACGCCGGATCTGGGTCAGCGCCGGCCACACACTCGCGTCATGATACTGTCGTGAAACGTGGTAGTTACCTTGCTGTCTATGGGAGGGTCAGAGAGCCCTCATATTTAATCAAAAATATCTTAAATTGTGTTCCGAAGATGAACGAAGGTCTTACGGGTTTCGAACAACACGAGGGTAAGTAATTAATGACAGAATTTTCATTTTTGGGTGAACTAACCCTTTAAAGCTTCCATCCTTGACAATACTGGTCAAAAGTTTGAAAAATGAAGATTTTTTTGTATTTGAAAGAAGACTCTTTTGCGCACCAAGGCTGCACTTATTTAATCAATAATACAGTAAAAAAAAAAAAAGTAATTATGTGCAATATCATTACAATTTAAAATAACTGTTTTTATCAAAAGAGACTTTTAAAAACATCTTATTCCAAACTTTTGACCAGAAGTGTAGACAACAGTAAACCAGCTGGGACCTTAGGCTGGTTTCAATTTTTTTTTTTTCAGCAGCAGATAAAGGACCTGAGCATGACTCTCCTGTTCTCACCATCATTTCAGTATGGATGAGCCTCCCAACAGAGGCGAAGCAGCCATTATCCAGTTGCTGTCGCTCCAGCCATTCCTTTGCCTGATCGATGTTATCCTGATCTATAAATATATACTGCCTTGCCCCACCAAAACTTTTCATCACAAACGCAGTTAGCCTGAGGAAACAAAAGGAATTGCTGTCAAATACCCATAATTTGGTAACTCTGCCTTAATAGTTTTCAGGTTGTTTCCTTGTGCAAAGTCCATGACCAAGTCCATGACTAGGTTTTCCCCATTCCAAAAACAGCTTCTTACCAGAAAGCTGTTAAATTCACATATAGGAAGCCAGAATCCACACAGTAGTCCTAAGCTAAGTATCTGTACCAGACTCACCAGGTGTTTCCAGAAGGATCACTGCTGCCAAAAGCACTGTAAGATCCGTCATAATGCTTGTATGTCAGCTCTCTCTGATAGCCTGCAACACGAGACGGTAAAAAGATTGATATGCTTGATGATATGCAACATGAAAAAAAAAAGCTTGAAAAAATTACTAATTGTCTGTAAATTGATTAGACATTTTCTTATTAAAAAAACATGCAAACATTAATTTTATAACCAGTATTTTTGCTTTTATTTAAATATTTAAATGTATTTGTATTTATAAATATTTTTTACTCTATCTTCTATTTCATAATGGTTTTCCTCACCGCTCTCCAGGAAGTTTATGGCTCGGTCTTTAATCCGAGGAGTGAGTTGCCCGGTGCTCTCCAGGTATTGAAGAATGTAGATATTGGGGGCAAAAAGCAGCATGTTTTGCTCTCCACAGCCGTACGGCATAGCCAACAGATCACCGATGTTCCTCAGAGCACGACCCATCAGATCACCTACGGACCAAAGAGCCATATAAGCATCAGTATGATTAAATAAAACTGAAAACTACCCAGTGAGAGCAATTCTACTGATTACAGAGTATTTAAAATATAAATACTTATTATAGAGATATGCTTATATTACAGAGAAATCAATGTACATTATGTACATATGCCAGCATGTCTTTAGGCTCACCCAGAACAGTGACAAAGCTTTTGGCAGAATCCTTGACAAACACTTTGGGTAGAGTGAGAGAGACTGATGTTTCCTCTGGACGGTCTAATGGAATAGAGAAAAAAACGTGGTCATGCTGTACTTTACTACAGACAATCATTTTCTCCATTTCTTGTGAAAACTACACAGGGTTTAAAAGATGAAATAGGGAAACTTTTGTTGAAGCCATTTTGAAATTGTTTTAACATTTCAATCATGACAACTCTCGAAAGATTTAACATGTTGATGGATATGACAATGTTAATGTATTTGGTCTTGGCGGAATAGATCTG